TTTCAGAGATATATATTCTCTTTTTGCTAAATCCTAAAACCCTTAGCCATAAATCCATATTTGAGAGATAGGAGAGAGAAGAACTCCATAACCTAAATCCTTAGGTTCTTTCACAATGTAGGAGAGATAGATCAAAAATGAGAGAAAGAAACTTTCTTAAGAGAGAGAGATAGAAAGATAAGATGTAGAGATTTTAGGTAGAGACAATCCCTTTTTTATAGGCTTGAACAATATTAGGATTTCTTAGGGTTTTCCTTGGGTTGTCTCTTCTTGTGAGATTGAACATAGACCGTCGATCAAGGGTGACCTATAGGGTGAGAGATCAGAGCCATCCATTCCATAGATGAGCCATCAACATTATGGAAGGTGCATAGACCATTATCCCTCTTTCCTTAACCATTTTCCTATCAATAGAAATTAGATAAAGTAAATCTAATTAAAATATTATGCATTCCATAATCTTTTATAAAATATTCCAAAGATGTATCAAGTCAATATATACTTTCAATATTTGGTCCATATATGGTCAAAAAATTTTATATCTTATTTGACCACATGCCATAACATAATAGTACCAAAACATGAAATAACTTAAACTCCAAGAAAGAATCCAATGGGTGGGGCGTGCCACCCATGTGTGGCACATGTGGGTCCCACCCACTTGACACATGGTGGGCCACCCACTTGACACATGGTGGGCCCATGTGCACTATGGGCCCCTCCATGATATTTTATATAATTTTAAATTATCAAAAAAAAATTTTAAAACATTATTTGAATTTTATACTTCTGTAAAATCAATATCTTCATTTTTTATAAGTCCAAAAAAATTATAGATAAAATATCAAATGACTCATAAAAATTCAAATAATAATTCTAAAATAATTTATATCATAAAACAAACATAATTAAATTAACTTGATGGGAAATGGATCCATATGGTTATGGGGCACTCCACTCTCAACTGTGGACTACAGAACACACTTGCCTGATCGAACCAATCCAGTATTTCCCATGACCCACAGTCCAAGCAGGTGCTCATTAGAGGGTCACCAAAGTCTGGCGGATGAGCCAAGGGGTCGCAATCCCAGTCTGTGGAATACAGGTCCTCCCTTATAGACAAGTCAAGGTCACCAAGACCTTATGACACCACAGCCTAATGGCGCATAGAGGTATTTCTCGCACATGCATATGCTTCACCTTAAAAGGTGGAATTCTGGTTTTTTCGAACAATCTATCGATATGCATGCCGTGTAGTGGTACATGGATAAGGTTTTGGCCCTTGTCTCTGTAGCTCACTATCACACACAAGGGTCACACAGTCCCTTTGCTCACTCATCCGGGCATGTTCTCCGACCTTATCAAGGGCTAACCTATAAGCCCTCATCAGTTTGTTCTTCATGCCCAGGTAATATGGGTTTTTCCCAATCGATTGGCCTAGATCGTTAAGTACAGATCGGTATCAGCAAACCATCGTTTGCTTAGTATGGTCCACGAGGGACCACACTCCCACTGAATTCATGTTCCATTATATCATTTCATTTTATAAGCACTCATAAGGCCTTTAAAGGCCACATAAACCCAACAACTTGTATATTTAGTTCCATTGCTTTGATAATCCATTTCTAACTCGACTATCTCTCAATTCAAGTAGCGTAATTATATTACTATTGACTTTTATACAACATAAGTTGCACTAAGAAATGGTGCAGCACAAGGCGGTTAGCTATTAAAGAAGAATTATGCTAATACGAAGGCGATGCCAATTTTAACACCTATTTTCTCATATGCCTATTGTAACTTGTAAGGATACTTGCAAGACTTCACAAACTTGTGTCTGCCTTCTTGATAATTTTTTAGCACACGTGTTATGGTATACAGTTCTTCGATCACCTCAAGGGGAGTAAAGGCTAGAGAAAAAGTTCAAATGATTGAAAGATGAATGAGGGCCTCGTTTTTTCATCCTTCTTAGGTCCAAAAGCAGATGCCACAGACTTCTCATTGATTCTGGCCCGCAAACGAGTATCCTTACACTGGATTCACCTTTTTGTTTTTCTTAGCTTGAAAATATATCTTGGAAATTTGGCCTTCTTCCATAATGTATAGTGTGCTTATTAGAAAATGGGGTTTGTTCTTCCAAGAATTGGAGTTCAGTATTTTATGCCATGTATCTTAGAGGTTGTGCGTGCTTCATTCGTCATCTTTTGCCATCTCAGTAAAGCTGCAGAGCACTGGATATCATTGATGTTATGAGAGTGCATTTTATGCATATAGCCCTAATCGAAGAAGGATTTGCCTTATAAAAGGGGATGAAGAAATACATGGTTTAGGTACCCAAGTGATGCCAGGAAAATTATGAAATATAATGTTGTTAGTGTAGCTCTCCATGGTAGACATTCAAGTTGCGAAATGTAATTCCTTGAGTAACTTGCATCAAATCATACTGATTTTTTATGAGATTGTCTTTATAATAGCTCTCCTAGTGTCGTTCTTGGCTTTTGTTCTTGAGTCACAAAGACTTGCAATTTCTGCCATCTTTCTTGCTGGGTAGTGTGATTCAGGAGCACCGTTAAAATTGTGTTCATCATTGTGATGTCTTTTGACTTTTTCACTATGTATATCAATTGAACTCTTTGACTAAACATTTTGTTTCTCTTTATAGAAGCAACCTCCTGCGAAATGCTCTGGAATGGAGTTATACCACTCCTTCCAGGAACCAAAAGTAAGCTTTCATATCTGCTGCACCAAAATTATCTTATATTACTCAGAACAAAGGGCTACTCTGTCTAAGCCCATGTCATCAATTCAATATGCATCAACCATCTTTAGTATCTCCAGGAGTGTGGGGTAGCCTTATTTTCTTGTTGCACTTCCTTTGATGAATGGGTTTTAGCATAATAAGGTGCCATATTATATGAGAAAATATGACTTACTGTAGAGCTTGCTGCTGTAAAGCCCATTATTCTTCCATTGTCCATATGCTTTCCTATTGAGGTCGAAACTCATGCCTAGTCGTGTATGTATCTTGTCTGCTCTTCTTTCCTTATGTCATCCTTTATGCTTCATAATTCGACTCTCTTTGTTATATTTTCTGTGTTAGATATGGGCACTTAGGAAACAAACACCAAATTTATAATGGTTTGCATAAGGTATCTATCTACGTTAAACAATCAAAGCAAGGCGCACCTCTCAATCTCGCTAAAAGATGTAGTCCCAGTGCTGGAAAATTTTATGGTGGCGTAAAAATCTGTTTCAATACTTAATTATAAAATTTAAAAGTCCATAAAAGGTGTAGATTGAAAAGATCTATAAACACTTAAAAAATTGGAAAATTGTTGGTGCAGATAATACAAATATTCTTTTAGAGGATTTAAGATGATCTATTGTAGAGTTTTTTGTCATCCGGAAGAGTTCACAAATGGTGTAGATCGAGAAGATCTATAAACACTTAAAAAATTGGAAAATAGTTGTTGCAGATAATACAAATATTCTTTTAGAGGATTTAAGATGATCTATTGTAGAGTTTTTCGTCATCCGAAAAACCATATCAATTGGATTTTTAAGATGCACGTTATTTTTACAGTATAAGTTTGACACATAAACTTTTTTTTAAACTCAAACTTAAATTCCATTTCTTCTTTTTTTTTTGGTTACTTGGGAAATATTGAAGCTTGTTTCCAACCAAAACTTGTTTCATAATTAGTAGAATTTTTTCATAGTAGTGATCATCTTATTGAAGCCCTAACGCATAAGAATGCAATTTCTGTAATTTAATTGTGCTACTTATGTAGCTTGTGTAATTTTATTTTGTTATACTAATTTTCAGTTTTCTTTATTATTCACATGGTGGCTTGAGTTTAAAGTGTGATAGTTAATTTGTAATTTTTCTTTTAAACTTGCTTGACTGCCATCTTCTATTTCCTAGTTCAGAGCATTAAAAAACTGATTGTGCAACGATCACTTCCATTCTTAAAAGTTTTCTTTTCTCGTTTTTTTTTTTTTCATGAGCTATACTGAGCTAGTTTCATCCTAGCAAGAGGTTATTGGATTTCGAATACTTGCCCAGTTCTTGAGGTGATGACACAGACCAATGTCCTTTGGATTTGTTGATGCCGAAGATCATGGAGGATTTAGAGGAGAGGAATATTGAAGGAAGCCAACTTGAGCATGATGAGGCAAGTGTAGGGATAGGGTCAGAGGTAGAAAATAACCCGTAGTGGTTTGACTAGCATCGCTAGTACATCCTTGAGGGTGTTTTGACGCTTAAAGAGCCATTTTAATCCATCCATATGGTAGAAAACCTATAAACACTTGGAGGAACTACGTCTTCGATTAAATAATTATGGGTTTGGTCTTTTCTGTAAGATTAGGTTCAGAAAAGTAAACTTAAGATTGATTGAGACCTGAAACCCATATCTTCCTATTTCCCATTGTAGAGGCTACCCCAACTTTGCAGGATGTGGTGAGAATATTGGGTCTAGATATCACAGGTAGATGTTTGCTTTAGCAACAATAAAGCAGCCCTAAGAAAAATTTAAGGATCTATTAGGTTATCAAAAAGCTAAGGGGGTGACATGTAACGTTCACTATGAGGAATTATTAAGTGTCTACAGACCCGATGTTAGGTCGAACGCTAAAGCGAAAAATGATTTTAGAATTCGAGCCTTTTTGCTAAGGCTTTCAAATCTACCTTGTTTGCTAATACCCAAGGGGGTAGAGTAAACTTACGTTACCTAAACATCCTTGACAATTTTGAGCAGCTAGGTAGTTATTCCTAGGGTTCAGTGATGCTCTGCCACTTATATAAGTGCCTCGACAATAGAGTCCTTACGGGTCATTCTTACCTTTGAGGGTCAATGGGGTTCTTCATGATCGACGTAACTAGTTTGCTTTCTCATATAACTCCCTTCAATTTTTCCTTTTCTTTTCTCTTTTTTTTTTTTCCGTATCTAGGTTCATGCTTTGTTTTTTTGTTTTTGTTTTTATTACAGTTATGGAGCTTTGAGTACATTGCCATATATTGCACAATCCAGAAACGTGAGAACCGCGAACTTAGATCCTGATGTGCCTGGTGGAATGGTTGTGAAAAGAAAGACATGCCTGGATATACTTCCACAGTGCATCGGGATCAATACGACAAGCTTACTGAGGAGCAGGTCAATAATACATTTGTACTTTTCCATTTATTTACTAATTCATTTATCTTGATTGCGGCTTGTGATCTGTAATTTCTTTGATTTGGGTTGCTTCTTTTTTCTTTTTCCAGTTTACTTGGTGCCCTTACATTGACGAGGAAGACGATGATTTGGTGAGGACGACGCGTGTCTATCGGCGTGCCCAGGTTGATCTTATATTAGAAAACTCTCTGCAAGCCTATCATCCCAAACAAGTGTTATGGCAATTTGAGCTCACAAAAGAGGCCCCACCTTTTGTTCCCCATAGGGCCATTGATAAGATGAAGGGGGGACCTCTATATGCAGGTGAGCTTCAAAGGGCACGTGATAGATGGGTATGAGCATTTGAATTTTGTTTAAATGGGAAGGAAGGTGTTGGAGTGTAGGTGTTGGTTAGAGGAGGAAAAAGTGAGGAATCCCAAACTATTTTGATGCAAGCGACTAGGTGGGATTTGCACTCAAAGATAATGGTGCATAACTATCTGCAAGAGGATCCTAATGTGCTACTGGTTACCTGAAGAAGCGATCTCAAAAGGATGAAGGGTTGTGTCTTGAATTAGTAAGCTTCCTCAAACTTTAATCTAAGCAATTCTATGTTATATGTTTTAGGAATAGTTATGACAACTAGTGGTTATTTGACAGGGTAATGAGATGGAGTTTGAAACAGAGGGTTCACAAGAGATTAAGACCCTCCTGGAAACAACATTGCGAGATCCAAATGTTAGAGAGGAGAATGAGGCCCTTAAGAAGCACCTCGAGGATTGTGCCGGGCTCCGAGTGATTCACCCAATCTTGATCGATCATTGGTAAATACTCTCTTTCTTCTTCTCCATTTTTTTGAAGTGTTTAGCAAAGCTGGATGCCGACCCTATTCCCAAACTTCATTTAGGGTAGCGGTGGAAGAGATCAGTCCACCATAGTCTATTCGCGTAAGAGGCATTGTACTAAGGACCAAGCGCTTCATGATTTAGAAGCTCGTGACCATGCCAATTTGGTTAATGACAGAAATTAATTAGTTGTGACAATATCCTTGCTTGCTAAGGCACTTGATGAAAACCCGATTTATCATTGTATTATGAAGCTAATTATGATCTTATGCCTATGCTCATCTTTTCTATATGTATATTTGGTTTTTTATAGCTGTATATGAACTTACATGCATGTATATATTTCATTTTTGCAGGCCCTTAAGGATTTCTTAGATGTGCTATAGATGAAAATATTACCGATTCTCTTTCTTGTCTTCTTTTCACTTGTCATCATGACATATTGACTTACTTCTAGGCCGATTGTGAGATCGTGAGCGCGCACAATGGTTTGGAGTTGAGAGCTCGAGTAAAATCTTTGAAGACCCAATTATGAACCCTTCAAACCGATTTAGTTGAAATTGAGGCAAAATAGAGATGTCAAAAGGTAAGACTAACTACACGTTTTTTTTATATGGTTTCAACTAGCCGTACATTGGTGACGTGATAAGGCATTAAAAGTATCCTTTACGAGTTTTTAGATATAAGAGGAGACGATGGTGTTAACGAGAGAGAGTGAGAGAGGTTTAGGGAACATGGGAGAATGTAGGCGGCCATAGAGAGAACCCATAGGGGAAGAGCACAGTAAGCAGAGTGAGAAAAGAACTACTTGGGAGAGAAAAGCTCGTAAGGGAAAACTATCCGTATAGAGAGAAAACAATATTTAGAGAGAGAAAATAGTATTTGAGAGAGAAAATTGTAGTTAGAGAAAATAGTTTTTAGAGAGAAAAAATAGTATTTAAAAAGAGAAAATAGTATTTAGAGAAAAAATAACAATATAGAGAGAACAAACAGTATGCGGAGAGAAAACAATATTTAGAGAGAGAAAACAAAAATTTCGAGAGAACAATACTTAAAAGAGAGAAAATAGTGAGACATAGGAAGAAAACATTTTAGAATATGTTTATGAGAGAAAAAGAGAAGGTAGAGTTGAGAGGGGAATGAAAGAGTGGGAGAAAGAGAATAGTGAGGAGGAAAGGAGAAATCAGTTGAAGGAGAAGAGAGAGTGAGAGATTATACGCCCCTAGTGTCTTTCTTTTGTCAGCTATCGAGACTAGATTGGGCTCTCCTATTGCAATTTTTTTTCTAGAACTTTCTATTTTTGGTCTCCTCTTTTTCCTTTTTGTTATTTTTTTTTTGGTGCCATTTATTTCCTTAATCTTTTCTCCTTGCAGAAACTTCAAGGTTTGATGATGAAACATAAAGCAAGAAAGGGAAAGCTTCAAAAGAAAGATAAGAAGGTTGGTGAGCTATCCACCTGCTTAAAACTAATGAATCAGATGAGATATGCTTCCCTTGGTTCTCAGTCTAACAAAGCGAGTAATGAGTGTTCTCTAAGTGTGAAAAGAGCTGCCAATCCATCTAATAGTAACCATAGTGCTTCATGCCGGCGTATCGCAGAAGAAGGGGAGAACGAAAAGTAGTGAATCTTTTTCATCATTTTTTTTCCATCATAACTCGTTCTTCTCTCTTGCGTCTTTTCATTGTATATACTACTCTTTGTAGGGTGCTTCCATGATCTCTACAAAGAAGGGGCTTTTGCTTACGTAAACGTGATGCATTTCCCTTCTCTTTTTTTCTATATGGTTTTGTAAGGTGTTTCCGTCACCTATAAGGAAGGCATTTGCTCACACCAATGAAAGGAGTTTTTTTTTCTCTTATGCCATTGGATAAATTACCTAGGAGTTTTTTTTTCTCTTATGCCATTGGATAAATTACCTTAACGAATTTGGATCCATCATGTATATTGTTGGAATGTACAATCGAAGTATGTGGTCAGGAATAAGCTCATCTCAGGGTTTTAGAAAGCGTGTCATGGGTCAGATGCCTTTTTGACTTGTTATTTTGTAAAAACCCTTTTTATCATGGATGAGTGAGGTGTCATTCCAAAGTTAACGTTTATTTTATTTTTTTATATTTTTTTGTAATAAAAATATATTTATTAAGATATTTAAATTATGAAAAGTTTCAATATTGAAATACTAAAATAGTAGAATATAAAAATGTAAATTATGAAATGTTGAAAATTCAAGAAGTTGTTTGGATGGGAAATAGCAATGATAAAACGCTCCACACTCCTAAAACGTTGTAATAGAAAACCTCCCCACACTCCTAAAGCGTTGTAATAGAAAACCTCCTTCCACCCCCCACCCCCACCCCACCCACCCACCCCTACCTCCTACCCTACCCACCCCTACCCCTACCCTACCCTACCCTACCCCTAC